AAAGTGACCGCTCTTTCAGGTGTCCACTGTTCAACAGTACGCTATATTTTGTTTTGCTGTGCAAAACTATAATATATAAGTCATAAAGTTTTCAGCAGCATAGCTTTCCGCCAAATTTACTTCCAGTGAAATTCGTGTTTCAATTGCTTTCTATCGAACAAAAGAAATAGTAAGCACTTTCTGTTAGGATTAAAACCTTTTATCAATATCTGAGCTTCTGTTTTGATTTTGATATGGCATCATTCTATATTAATCATTTTCGTTTGTCATGTCGCATAATTACACGAACTTTTGTCTATGCATTCTTAAATGAATTTGTAGCAAAATTTTCAAACCGAATTATACTCCGTTTCACCTCAAGTTGACACTAGTGCGAAAAGCAGGTGGTCCGGATTGCAGCCGTTGTCATAGAAACTGGGTTTTTCTTTAAGTTGGTTAGGTGCACTAGGTAGCAAAAGAAGCAAAGAAAGAGGTCAATATTGGCGTTAAAGAAAACAAAGCTGTAATTTTTTTTATTTACGAAGAATTTTACTGAAATTTTGTACAAAATACCGACAAAAACAATATGCTTTTAGAGCATTTAGAAATGTTAATTTCTTATTATGATTTTTTAAACACAGATTTTCTTATTAATTATTTTTAACTAAGCGAAACCAATTTTAAATGCCTAATTGTGGTAGACTAGATTACCATGCATTAGCCTCTATCAAAAATCAATAGCATCATTTTTGGATCTAAATAATACTGAGCGAGTATAGTTGATGAATTTAACTTCTAAGCTTTAACTTCTTTATTTTACTGATCCTATTTAAGTAAAAATTCACAAGTAAAAATAAAAATATATTGGAACTATTTTAGCTTTTTTTATTTGCGACTTTCAGAAGTGTGCATGATAGTGTAATGTTAATTAATACTGATATATTTGGCTTATTGCTTATTTACTTTATGTTTTGTCGGGGATTCAGCAATTATCAATCGAAATTTTATATTTATTGGTGTTCGACAGTAAATTCTTTTTTTTTTTCTTCATTGAAGAATGTATTGTTTTTAATAACAAAAGGTTTTATATCACTAAGTTTTAAGGTGCCATTTATTATTTGTCTGATTATCGATTTATTTGTCTGAATTGAAAAATGATCAGCTCTTTTATTTGCTCTTTAAAATGAATAATATTTCTTTTTTTTTTAGTTTAAAATACTCTATTAAAATTTCCAATTTTTTTAGACATGTTAATTTTACATAATATTTAACTGCTGTTGAATGTATGGCTCATTTTTTTAACTTTGTTATAATTTAATTTTGAACCTGAATATAAACTTCAGATAAAATAACTTGCTTATGTGAAGAATACTGTGATTGATACTCAGGAGAACTGGGATGGGAGGTCCGGGGAGGTCACTGTGACCTGCCAAAGATTTTCACATTTCGGCAAATTTTGTCTGGCTATCCGGCATATAAACGTAATTTCATTCTCTCTCTCGTTTTAAAAAACACAAATAAATTATTAAAATACACACTTTTATTTAACTTACAGCAATGAAAAAAAATCTGCACAAGTATCATTTTAAGAATCCATTTAATCATTCTACATCGTTTTAAATAGGCCATGTATTTATCAAATGGAATTATTTTAAAGAGGGGGCTCGATTTACAGAATATTGTATTTCTATTCCGTATTCGACGAGGTTTGCCGACCACCAAAGGAAAAAAAAATTCTCTCTTTTTTTTTCCTTAAATTTCGAATTATATTCGAAATATATAAAAGTTAAAAATTTTGTCGTTTTACATGCAATTCTGAAAGGTTGTACGCGAAGAGATTTACAGTATCACTTGTTGTTGATGTATGCCTGTTTTAGGCAGAGGGAGTGCGATTGTTCTTGTTTTCCAGAGGCGCCATCTATGGCCAAGAATTCGACTTCTGCCACACTATACGTCTCACTCGTTTATAGGGCGGACCCATTCATACATCCATTCATTCATGCACTGATCGTAATTTTGACCTGAATCAGAGAAACGATCGATCTCCAATCCAGTATCACTTCAGACTTTAAAGTATTTATTATTTGGTTTTGGGGATAGAGAACAATTATATTCATCTTATCTTATCTATCAACTAACAATTATTATCATCCTATCTTAGCTTCAAATTAATTCATTTCTTTTTTGCATTTATTTATTCACTCATTCATTAATTGTTTTATTTATTGATCAGAATAATTATGTATAAAATCATTGAATCAGAAAGATATTTGTGGAAAAAACTAACATGTTGTGAATCCTTCAAATGTTGCAAGTTCATGGGTGCCTGAAGGAAAGAGAAAGAGAGGGAAACTGAGACTAACATGGCAAAGATGCATTAAGGAAGATCTGAGTAGAGCAGGATTAACTGGATGGGAAGAAACGCGTTGCCTGGCCAAAGACAGGAATGTGTGGAGAAAAAGGCCGAAAGGCAGGGCCCGATTACCCATTAGGCCAGACTAAGCCATGGCCTGGGGCCCCTAATGATTAGGGGTCCCCTTATAGTGATTTTTTGAAAATAAATTTTAAAAAATTAAGAAAAACAATGATTTTTCAAAATGTTATGATTATTTTTTAGTTCTAATTTAATAAAATAAATTAAAATTTAATTTATTATTATTTATTTTTATTTTACATATGCTTTCTTAAATGAAAAGATACATAAATACTTTTATATTTGAATAAATGAAAAATATACGAGAAAAAAATGTAATCTTAAGGCCCCAAAAATTTTAATGGCCCCGCGTACGCTTAATCCGCCCCTGACTAGAGGACTTAAGCACCAGTTCAGCACGAAGAGCTAAGTAAGTAAGTAATTTAATATTTTTTATTGAAGCATATAAATTACATTCTAGTATACATTTCATACTAGAAAGATTACGGCTTTTTACTTTACTTTTTTGAATTTGACAAATAAATCTATTAGAAAAAATTTCAATACATTTAAATTCATGTTTATTGATTTAAATATCACATTGTTCTCCTTTCGAATAATAAATAAAAGAAATTGTTAAGAGCTCTATTGTTTTTTATACATCAAAACTATTTCACTTTGGTTATAGCTAATCTATTCCCTTATAACTGTTAGTAAACTGTTTTATTGCATTTAAGGTATAAATTGTAAATATGACTGTTGATTGTAGATTACATTGAAAAAAATAGGATTGTTTGTTGATATTATGTCAAAGAAATCATAATTATTTTTTATCTGTCAACGCTTGCACTTTTTTAAAATGTTTTTTTAGTGGTAGTGAAATAAAAATTGTAACAATAACAGTAAGCAGAAATTTCATCAGCACCTAAAATCCCACCAATAATTAGTTGTTTTAATCAAGTATATTGATAATCAGGAACATTTTCAATCAAATTTATTATACAAAAAAATGCAATATCAAAACATAAATCTTGCTACCACTTGAAATATAGTCTTCCGTGTGAAATAAGAAAAGTTAACAGTTATGTTATTTATAACTTATACATCTTTATAATATTCATCTTTTGTGCCACTTCTGATGCTTTGTTATTATATGTAAGGATAAGTGCAGGCACTTATTTATGATTCCACAAAATTAGGAATTTCATTCGGCAAAACGGGAATTTTCCCTCTCCCAATAATTTATATTCGCGGCGTCCCTGTTAATACAAAGCTACTGTAGCGTATCAAGCTATATTAAAGAACTGTTCAGTTTTTTTATAAAAAAAACTTTTATTTACAAACAACACAAATAGTAACAAATATGAATTACCCGTAACGGAATAGTGAAAAGATCATAAAACACCAAGAAAACCCGTAACGGGATATAAGGAAACTCTCCCGTAGCGGGATAGATAAAATATTATAAAACAACTGATAAAGTGTCCGTAACGGGATAGTGAAAACTCAAATTCCACACAAAACTAATTCTAAAAAATCAACAACTTTCTGGTGTTCTAATTTTATCGTCTGCTTTTATTATTTAAATTTATCTTTTTATGTGTTTATTTTATTTATGCTTTTGCCAGCCCGTTAGTTTTGAATATTTTTACTTTTATTCATGCTTTTGCAAACCAATTATCTTTCTTATATTTTTAGACTTTATACTACATTTAAGCTACGTGAAGAAGAAAACTACAAAAAAAGAAGAAAAAAAAATCCCATTCAAATAAATACCATGAGCGGAATACGAATTCCAAGCCATATAGATGAAATTCAAACTTGCATTGCACGATTTTTATCTTGAAGCAACCCGAGCTCTACGCTTTTTCAACCAATCTGACCTTTTATATGCATAAATTGTATTTCTTATTTTTATTTTATTCCTTTCCTTTATTCCGATGTACAAAAAAAAGCCTACTTCTGAAAATTTCGTTTCATTTTGCGAACAGATTATTTACTTCAATCCCTGAGATTCATAAAAAGTTTTTTATCCTCACATTTTTCGTGAGGATTTAATATATATACAGCGGCCTAGGCCAATAGGCCCATACGCCAAATACAATGAATCATTTAAAAGGTCAACAGACCCTTATATAAATAAAATACAAAAATTATATGTATATATACAATACAAAACTTATTAACCCTCATATAAATAGAATACAAAAATTATATATATATATAATACAAAAATTGTGAACCCTGAGACAACCAGTAAAAACTGAGTGAGCTGTGAGCCAGAGCTGGTGGAACCCTTAATACAAGACAAAAAATCTAACAATTCACCAAAAACCGCCGTAAATACAGCTCATAAAACCGCCAAAAGGTGAAAGGATAAAATGACATAAATGAATATAGTGCTAAAATTGAAAAGTTAAAACTAAGACAAAATCACAGATGTATACACTTGCCAATAGGGCATTGAAAGGATCCAGCCAATCAAGCCAGCTTGAATCCTGCTGGTGGAACCAAAATAGTGAGGGTGAAGTAGTAACAGGTAGTTAAAATGAAGAACAACAAGTAAAGCAGAGTAAATTCAATTAAAGTACAAAAAAACAGAGGACAAAATACCAATAGATACTAAAAGGTAAGAGTTAAAAGGGGTGTATAACAATCTAAAAACCATGTATAAAATACAATCGCAATGTAAAATACCAAATGTATTAAAATCCAAAGGTTGTAAACAAACCTAAAGCATGTATAAAATGCAAAGTCAAGTTAAAAGTCAAATTAAAACACTAAAATGGCAATGTGGTCCAAAAAAAAGTTTTGGCAAGGTGGTTAGATTAAGCAGGTTAAAATTTTAGTTATTGTCAATTTTGTTTATTAATTCCATTTGTTCCTCAAGAGTAGTTTTAATGATAATCTTGATAATTTCTCTACAAACCTTGTCTGCAAAAATTTGTTGGTCTGTTTTTTGGAAGAAATAATTTTTTCGGAGTGTTCGGTACCGATCACAATAATATAAAAGATGCTCTATGGTTTGTCTTTGGTTACAGTTAGAGCAAGTATCTGATTTATTAAAAAATTTGTTTTGGTGTACTCCGAACACTCCGTGCCCCGTCAGAAATTGGTTAAAATAGAAATTAGTTTGCAACCTTGTAGTTGACGGGGTCTTAATGAATTTAAATGTATGCCTGCCTTTCTCAGAATTTTCCCAATTGGTTTTCCACCTTGCCATTAAATATTGTTTGATTTCGGTTTTAGCTTGTTTGGGGGTCTTCAGAACCTGGAGATCCACACTGTCAGAACCAATGGCTTCCTTTGCTGCCCTGTCTGCCTCCTCATTGCCCTGGATCCCCACATGTGCTTTTACCCAGTTCAAAATAGTGTTCTTATTCCAAATTTTTTTGATCTCTTCTATGAGTTTGGAACTGGGTTCTGGGTCAGCCAGGGCCTGGAGGGATGATAGTGAGTCTGAAAAAATCGTTGCATGTGTAATATCATGTTGACGTAGCCATATCAGGGCAGACTTGATTGCCAAAAGCTCTGCAATAAATATGTTGGTGTTATCAGTGACTCTGGTGGAGGCTTTGAAAATCGTGATACCGTTGTTCTTAACTATCATTGCGTGTGAAGTCCTGAATTTATTCGGATAATCTGCCTCCATCCGAGAGCCATCAGTGTAGATCTCCACTCCCTGATCTTTAGGGCTGCTATATCCCCAGGGCAAAGCAATGTAATCTGAAGGATGCCCTAGGGCTGGTTTCTCGAAATCTATGTTATGATCAAGATCAATTGGTAGAGTATAATTTATGTCCTCGAGTCTCCAGCCCCACTTCACCCTTTTGCAAAAGATGTCCTCCACGATTTTCAAACCAATTGGCATAACACCCGCCAGTATCTGGATTGCCTCTGTGCTCGTTGTAGCATAGGCCTTCGTGATGGTTAAGAGTGGTATTCGCTGGATACTGTTTAATTTTTCGTTAATTCTCCTAGTATTTCTGTACCAGACACTGGCGGCGTAAAGTATAATTCTTTCACTTGCCTGGAGATATATGCGTTTCAACAATTGTGGTCTGAGACCCCATGTAACTCTGGCGACTCTCCTAATTCCCTGATTAAAACCTGTAATTCTGTCTCTAATATCATTTAAGTGTGGAATCCATGTCAGACCTGGATCGAGGGTCACCCCTAAGTATCTCATCGTACTTACATTTTTAATATTGTTCGTATCATCCGGTCTAAATTTAATACAGGGGAGTCTTCCCATCTTTTTTTTATTTTTTGGAAATGTAATAAGTTGAGTTTTTTCTTTCGAAAAATTTAATTTGTTGTTCTCGGCCCAGTCTGACATGTGGGATAGAATATGAGTCGCCAGTTTATCAAATTTATAGAAAATTGGACCACTTACCAACAGTAAAATATCATCTGCAAATGCAATGATATTGAAATCATCATGGTTAAAATCAATAAATTGGCTAAAATTTATATTACGAACTAAATTAAAAATGTCATTAACCAAGATCAACCACAAAATGGGTCCAAGCGACGAGCCCTGTGGTACACCAATGTTTAAGTTACTTTCTACTAGAGTATCGCCGTTATCTCCTAAAAATTTAGCCTTTCTATCCTTTAGGAAGCT